GGGACCATACATGTATGCCACTATGCCCGGCTTGTTGGTCAAGATGGGGATCTCACTAACCTTTTGCCTGGGCTGCCCTCAAACTCTCATCCTCTGTTTCCTGAGTAGCTGAGATATGGGCTTGAGCCACTGAGCCTGGTCAAGATTTCTTACAGACATGACAGGCCATTAGAAAATTCATCTCCACTCCCACAGCTAATGACATGAAGCAGTATTTCCCTGGTAAATAATACAGCCAATTAATGCTGTATGATTAGGAAATTAGGAGACTGTGGTCTATAGTAGTCCATTAAAGCCTTCAGAAAGATGGCTGAGCTTGAGTTGAACTTTGAAACTTGAGCTTAGAGAGGAAGGTGATTTCAAGTGGAAAAACACAATAAAAAAAAAGGAGGGACTAACTTAAACCCTTGCTTTACGGAATGTGGTCCACACCAGCAGCTTTGTTGGGGCTGATTAGAAATGCAAAATTTACACTCTACCCTTGACCTTGGGAGTCAGATGCCACCCACTGAAATCTGGGAAGCATATCGTGCTCTACAGTTTTCTGCAAAGCATCCATTGGACCCTTAAGATAGAAGAGCTAGATATGAATGAGTTAAATAAGGATGTACACCAGTGTCCAGTCTTATTGGAAGAAGACCTGAGGCTTAAGGAGGCGTGACCAGAGCTGGGGCTCCCACTCAGGTATTCAGATTCAGAAGTTTTTACGCCACACAATGACTGAGTTGTGCTTGGAGAATTGAGTAGGCCAGTGCAAAAAACTTGAGTGTGGATTAGTTAGCAACTGGATTATAGAAAATTGATCTTTTATCCATTTATACATTGTGACCAGAAGAGTTCCAGGATGACTGGTCTGGTGGCATTGTACAGGCAGATTAGAATAGGGACGAGAGAGTACTTAGGGGTGCTAGATATTCAGGGTGTATAAGTGCATTCCAAATATTAAACACAGAAGTAGGTTCTGACAGGAAGTCAGCCATTTGATACCTGTCAATATCCATTTTGTGCCTCACCTGAGCACCTGATCCTGCCTCCATGATTAGGGTCTTGATCACATTATGCCTTTGGTTCAGTCAATTACATCACAGAGTCCTAAGCACATAAGTGACTAACAATAATTCTGGCTGTGTCACAGTGGAAGAGTGCCTGTCTACAACATGCAAGACCCTGAGTTCAACCCCAAGTTGAACCGAAAAAACTAACAGTAACGGCAACAATAAAACCATCTTTGATCTTGTCCCCTTTATTTCCCCTGACAAAAGCCCTGGCCCCAAAATTAGGTGGCTTCTGTTCTCATCGCGGGTTTGCTATCAGTGCTGTATGAAACCTTGAATGGCTCAGTTAATCATCCTGCTTAGAAAATAAACATCACACATAACCATGACTTCACAGGGTAAGACTTTCTGATGAGATAATTTACGAGAGACTCTTGGTTTCCTGAGAAGGGTTTTGAAAGCTTATAATGGTGTTAATATAAAATTACTTTTAAAACCTTCACTTTTTGAAACTTTTAAAATTTTAATCCCCTAGTGCATTTTAGTCACTTTTCTAATTATAATTACATTGGAAAGGAGAAAAAAAAACCATCCTGCCATCTGTGGCACTTGTTCTCCTTCCCTGGAGGTAAAGCCAGAGAAGATAATGATTTATTTGAGCTGTTGTTAGTCCCACTAGAAAGGGGAATGGATGGTGGTTTCTTATTGTCGCTTCAAGGCCCATCTGCTGATGGGTGCGATTTCATTAGGCAAAATTGATGTGGGTAAGTATGTACATGCTAGAGGTAGAGGAAGAGTAGAGGAAAGAAGGAAGAATGTTTTTGTTCTCTGGAGAAAAGGATCAGGATGTGTGAGCAGTGTGAAATTGTCACAAAGATGGCAGACAAAGGAAAACCACCCCCTTTGACTTCCTACAGCTGTGTGACCCATGTCCCTGCCTCTAGTATGGAGGATCTGCCATTACTACACGTGTGCATGGAGTCTAAGCCTTGCTTCTCTGCCTGAGCTCATGGTGTCCTTGTGTAGCTGTGGTCATATAGTGTCACTGATGCCTGTCTTCTGTCTCGCTTAGAACAAAGCGTGATCGTGGAGTTTTAAGGTTTTGTTGAAGCGCTGCATAGAAGAGTTGCAGGTTTCTGGCCTTTTTCTGTTGACATAAAACTCTGGCTGTGTATGTTCTGTTGAAGGCCTTGTATGTGTGTGTGTGTCTGTGTGTCTGTGTGTATGTGTCTGTGTGTGTGTCTGTGTGTATGTGTCTCTGTGTGTGTCTGTGTGTATGTGTGTCTGTATGTGTGTGTCTGTGTGTCTCTGTGTGTGTGTCTGTGTGTGTGTGTGTGAGCGTGCATGCCTGTGCTTGTGCCAGGGAGACGTTGTGAGGGTGGAAGGAGGGTGGAAAAGCTGAGAAAGATGGAAAGTGTTCATTCTCCCAGGAGCAAAGTGGTTAGTGCTGGTTAACACACATAATGCTCTCTAAGTAGGTTTCATTGTTCCTTACAGTATGGATAAAGGTCCATATTGGCACCAACTCTTCATTTTTGAATTACTTTCTCCAAACTGTAGTGTTCACTGAGAAAGGGGACCTCAGAACGAAACACACCTTAGATTAGAGAACGCTTTTTCCTTAAATGTTGCTTATCCTAGAACAATCCAGATAAAACATGTGTTGAAAATATGCATATTCAACAGCTGGTGTGTCATTAGCACGATAGAGGCACACGCACTTATTAGTGCTCCTTCCTGATCATGTGCTCATTCTCTTGTGTGTAGGCCCTAGGTCACGTGCTTTTGGAAGCACAAAGGTGAGTCAGACCTGTATATGTAGTGAAGAAGTGGATGTGCGTTCTAGAAAAGTCTAAATAGAGCTTTGTGGGCGAGCAGAAGCAGGAGAGGACTTCAGGAGAGTGGGAGAGGAAGGCAAGATGGTAAGGAGAGCAGTATCTGAGGTGACATCTTAGAGGTGGAAAAAGTTCATGGCAAAACAAGGTGCCTTCCCCCAAGGTAGAAAAGAATGTATTTCCAGAGGAAACATGGCTGCTTTGCCTTGCCTGTGGTAGGCTGTGTCGAGTCATCTCCTGAGTTCCCTTGGCCCCGTGCTTTTCATTTCATCAGATTCATCAATTAAATGTCAGCAGATTGCAGTGGGGGAGGGGGAGTTACTAAATGGATGAAAGCGACTTTGTAATTATAGCCACTGCTGGATGTGTAATCTATCTGTCCTTGTAATTATTAAGGTTTTTATTTTTATAAGCTGATTGTCTCCTCTTCTACAATGTCCTTAATGATATGCAAATAAGGGCTGACATAACCCGGGAACATGTTTTCTTTTGCATCTTATAACAAATTTCCACAAATACTGACCCGTGGCAGCTTTGTGCCATCTCCAGAGAGGCCCACAGTCAGTGACTCAAATAGATTAGGACTGCCTTATCTCTTCTAAGCCTTGTCTAGAGGGAAAAGTCACATCCTGGGTCTTATGTTAGCTCTCTGCTATGACACACAGGGTCATGAATGACTCCTCTTTTCTCGACAGTGACCTTATCATCTCATCGTGGTAAATGGCTCTGCCTTGGCTCTTTGGCTTATTCCCTTAGCCGAGTATATCCTCTAGCCTGGCGTGGAAGGGGCCCCTGCCTGGAGTCTTCTGCAGTCTGAGAAACTCTTGGCATGTCTCTCCACCTTTCTGTGCCTGATCAGCTCACCCACACAGTGACTGGCTACCGTGTGTGGCAGAGAAACCACATATCTTGTGTCTTTTAGATGCTTGTTTTGTTGAAAGGTATTTGAAGATATCCAATTTCAAAGTTAATAGAGTTTCTTAAAATAGAATTGTCTCACTCTGGAGCAGACTAGTTATGCACTGTCTTAATAAGTATTAGGCATGAAATAATCACCCAAGGAGAGCTAATATAAATGGAAATTCATAGCTCACAGAGACTGCGTAGGGCTTGACAGTCTTATCAACCCAATTGTGAGTACCTAGAGTCTAGAACACTCAGTGACAAGTGGCATATGTGTTCTATAAATATTTCTTGAATGAATGGGCGATGTGTTTTTTCTTTGATAGAGGACAATTGTGGTTAGATTAACCCAAGAGTAAATATGGCTAAGGGTTGTAAAATGAATACCTATACATGGGATTTCGAATCTTATAAATTGTATGCCAGACTTTAATATCTAATGAGGTAGATATTAAAGCTTAACTTGCTTTGATAAAGCAATATTATAGATACTGTTTTCAGAGAGGCCCAGCTATTGCACAGACAGTGTCTTGCTTAGATCATGAGGTGAGGCCAAGGTACTCCTGGCCTCTAACAACATCTCACCTGAGCTGAAGATACAGTGATAAGGAGGAGAGAGCTAGAAGCTAATCTGAAATCAGAGCTGATAATGTGACCCTGTCTCCCAGTGTCAAACCATATAAGCAGCATGCTCAGCATCGCCCATGTCCCAAATGTGGAAGGAAAACCACGTTTGGTTTCATCATGTATCTGGAGAGACATGGAGTGCTCTACAGTGGGCTGTGAGAGCAAGAAGTTTCCCTTTTGAGTGTTTTTTCCCTTTTTGATGTCACCTATTTCTGTAGCTCATAAAAATACAAAAGTGATTTTAAAAAATGAAGGGCAGGAGGGAAAAATATGTCTTTTTTCAGGGATGAGTACCAGTGGGAGGAGGGTAGGCGCAAGGAAAGGGGGAATGAGGTGAACATGGTGGGCGTGTTTGTATCCCTGTATGAAAATAGAAGAATGAACCTGTTGAAAGTGTTCTAAGAAGTAGGGGAGGGGGGAAAGGGGAGAACAACTGAGGGGGTAAATCTAACTAAGATATATTGTAAATACATATGCAAATATCACAATATATCCCCCTGAACAACTATTGTATTCTAATGCAATAATTTAAAAAATACGAAAATGAGAAAAACCCTTTCCAGGCTGGCAGGCTTCCTGAATGTTCCACTATACATGGCCACTGTCCACAGCATCTGGTTTTGTGTGTTTGCTCTTTCAGCTGTACGTGGCAACGGAGGCCATCCTTATTGCACTGGTTGGGGCCACACCATCATATCACTGGGACCTGGCTGAGCTCCTGCCTAACCAGAGCCACAGCAACCAGTCAGGCAGCAAAGAGCAGACCTTTGGGGACTGGCTCCTGACAGCCAACGGCAGTGAAATCCACAAGCATGTGCATTTCAGCAGCAGCTTCACCTCCATCGCCTCCGAGGTAACTCAGGCCTGCTCCAGGTGGAACCTCTCTTTTTGTCGTGATGATTTAAATTCCAGCCACATCTTCAAATAGCATTCTCGTAAATTCAAGTTCAAGATTTTAATGTATCAAAGGAGAATATCCTATAAAAACAATTCGTTCTCCTTCTTATTCCACACAGAATGAAGCATCTTACCAAACTTGTTAAATGGACTAAGTCAGAAACATCAAAAAGCCCATTGTGATGATAGTGTCTTTGGAAAAGTGAATTAAAACTTCATCTTTCTTTATTAGATATGCAAATGTTAGCCAAGTAAAGCAAGAGAAAGCAGTGGCCCATCTGTAACTTCCTTTGTTCATTTTGACGTCCAGTCCCTTGTAGACCTCCTGGGCCACCTTGACTATACAGAATAAAACACAGATGGTGCCATAAGTGTGGGCAGGGAGCCCTGTTTTGAAGAGGGCTTTGCTAGCCAGGGACAAGGTTGTGGTCCTTCAGAGCCAGCCAGAGAGAAAAGCTGAGGGTAGGCAGTCTAGTGAGGAGAAACCCAGGATAGGAGGCTGGGAAAGCATTGGTACTACCTGTTAAATGTTGAAATATTCCTGGCCTCTTTGTCTGCTCCCTGTAAGCTGCCCAGGTGCCTGGCACCACCCTGGCCCTGCTCTTGGACCATATGATCCAGTTAATAGGGTCAGTGCCTGGGGGACCTGGGGACCCTGGGCAGCCTGAAGTTTTGATTGCCAAGCTAATGAGCTCCCCCAGATTCCTTCGACCACTCCCCTTCAGAGGCGCCAGAGTGCCTGTCTCTCCCCCATGCTAGGCCTGGATCCTCCCCTTCTCTGTGCCTGTGAATACAAGGAGCGTCTATACCATGGTCCCAGCAAGCCTCACCTATCGTATAATTGACACTGCATGTTATTTTCAATTCCTTTGGTTTCTTCCATCAGCGTTTCATAGTCTTTAATATCCAATTCATGAATACATGTTAGATTTGTATTTAAATATTTACTTTTGAGTGGTTATGAATAGTATTGTATTTTAAATTTCAGTGTCTACCAGTTAGAAATACAGTGATTTTTGTATATTTATATTATATCCTATAATCTTGACAAACTCACAATAATTCCAGGTTCTTTTGTCTTCAAGATCTTTGAGACTTTTTTGACAATTATGTCAAAAATAGAGGCAGTTTTATTTTTACTTTTCAAATATTCCTTGGGCTAGAGTTTCCAGCATTATGTTGGATAACAGAGTAAGAATGGTCCTCCCTGCCTTGCTCCTGACTCTAGGTGGGGAAGCACCTTTCACCGGTAAGTGTAGTGTCCGCTGTAGGTGTTTTGCAAATGTTCTTTAACAAGTTGAGGAAGTCTCCCCCCATTGCAGTGTTTTTAAAAGTTATTATGATTGTGTATTAAATTTCCTCAAATGCATTTTTACACCAGTTGCAATGATCTATCCATTTTCCTATGGATCACATTAATTGATCTTCAAATACTGAACTGGACTTTTATCTCTGAATGGCATACTTTTATATATATATATATATATATATATATATATATATTACAGAATCCTGTTTCCTTGTGTTTGGCTGAAGATTTTTGCTTCTGTATCTTGATTTCTCCTTGATTCCTGGTTTTCACAGGTTTTAGGATTCTTGGTTCCTTTTGACCGCCAAGGTTTCTAATGAGTAATCAACTATACTTGAATTTTTTGTCCTGTAGGTAGAATGTCATTTCTCTCGTGTTGCTTTTTAGATGTCTTTAGTTTTTAGAAGTTAGTTAGACTGTGATGTTTGTTGGCATCGAATTCTTTGGGTTCATTGTATTTGGGGTTAACTGAACATCTTGGATCTGTAGGTTTGTCTTTGGAGAAGTTGGGAGGTTTTCAGTTTTGATTTATTGAAATACATTTTTTTTTTAAGCCCTGTTCTCCTTCTCCTTTTCTTCCAGAACCCCAGCAATGGCAAATGGTGGCTCTTTTGTTACAGGCTCTCAGAGCCTTGGAGCTTTGTTCTTTTTCAGTCTGTTTTTTTCCTTTGTCTTCAGATTGGGTACTTCCTACTGTTGTGTCTCCTGTTTGATTCTGTTCAAGTTTAACGTTCCTATCCTGCTGTTCAGTCCAGTCATTGCATTTTTTCAGCTCTGAAGTTTCCATCTTGTTCTTTGCTTATATCTTCTCTGTCTTTGCCAAGACCTTCGCTGTCTTTTTATTTTGTGACTTGTTTCAAGCATTTTGTAAATGCTTATTGGAGCGTTTCTAGGAAGGCAGCTTTCGAGTCTTGCTTAGATAATTATAACATCTCTGTCATCTGGGTGATTGTTTTGTTTAGGGAATTGCGTTTCTCCCAAATTCCCCCTCGGAATTGCTATTCCAAGCTTACCTAAACTCTGTTTTTGCTGGCTTTCTGTGGCACAGGAAGAGGGTGGGCTCTTCGTCACCCCCTGTTGGTGACTGAAATCCAATCTCTCATGAGGTCAGCACTGATGCTGGTGCGATAGGGTCCTTGTCATTGCTTGGCAGAAGTGAAAGTGTCGGCTGCCCACTTGGCCTGTCTGACACCACCCCAGTGGTGTCAGTGGTTCTTCAGTGGCTCTCCAGGGTGGAAGCCTAGGCCTCCTGCTTGGTCCCTGCTTGTGTGGATGGGGCTGGAAACAAGAGTTCTGTGTGGTGATTGGCTGGAGTAAAGCAGCTGTTACCCAGGAGTTTCCCACCTATTAGGCCAGCTTTTCTAGGTCTTTGACTAAAGAGGCTGGTTTTGTCAGGGCTCCTGTGGTTACTCCTCTTTGTATTTCTGACATACTGGATTCTCCAGCACCTCGTCTTGGATATGTGAGGCTACGAGAAACCTAGGACTTCACTACTTTGTCATTGCTTGGCTCCCAAGGGCCCAGCTGGCATCCTTTCTTTCACAATTGTCTTGCATTTGTTTTGTATACAATGGCCAGGGTTTTCAGTAGTATTTGCTGAGAGAAATGGAAAATATGCCCTACTTTGCCCTCCAGGAAGTGGATATCCTCCCATGTCCTTTGACCGTTTTATTTAATTACTTATTTTTGAGCATTTCAAAGCATTTTTGCGCATGGGCCGAGGAACTTATCTCACTGGTAGAGCACTTGGGTGGTATGTGTGAGGCCCTGGTTTTGATTCTTAGCAACACACACACACACACACACACAATTTTTGTGATAACGAGATTTCCCAGCAACTCTCTGTCCCAACTGGGGCATTTGTCATTTTTCCAGGATGTCCTGGTGCCATTTAATACTTCCATAGGATTTTGAACTGAGTGAGAGAGATAGACCTGTGTCTCAACACATCTGTTACCACATTACAGTGAAAGTGAGTTTTAGACCAAATTCTGCTACATGTAGAAGGGCTTAGTAACTTAATTCTTTTCAAAGAAGCTTGTACTAAGCTGCCTTGTAGGCTTGACAATCCTGGCTCTCTGATCTCCTGGGATTCTGAACAGTTTCCATGAATGTCAGGAGAGAGAAACCCCAACTTCCCATAGACAGGCAGGGTAGTGGTACCATCTCCCCCCCCCACTTCCATCAGCACCAGGCCAACAGAAACTTCCAGAATGCACATTGACCAGGATGGAGGAGTGGGTGTAGCCTAGAGCATCACTCCAGTAAGCAGGGAGTACAGACCACGCTGATGATGTCATGAGGGCAAGAGTGTCTCCAAAGTACACACTCATCTGTGAGTCTCAAATGCCTTTAGTTTCATCAGCAGTAGTCCCCCCTCCCCCACTTTTTTTTTTTTTTTTTACATTCCATCATTCCTGGCCACCAGGCCTCTGTTGTAGCAAAAATACACAGAGTGCCCATTGTTGACAGACAATGACTCCGAAAGCCCTTGTAGTAGGTCTCTCTGGAAAGCAGAGACCAGGGCACCTGTCCCTCCATGTTCCCTATGTTGACACCTGGGAGGCCCACAGTGCTTTTCCTGTTGAGTGTCGAAGACCTATAAAGCACCTCTGAGAGCAAATGAATAAAGGGCTCACGTGGGCCTCACCCTTCTTCGTGTGATGCAGCTATGCGTTTTCCTTCCTGCTAACTGCATATTAGTCCGCTGGGGTGTATCTGTGAACCACTGTCTCTCACCATCTGTCTTTGTTAGTTCGTATCCCTAAGTCGTCTCCTTTCCCCTCCCTCCTTCTTCCTCTCCTCCCTTTCTCTCCTGTTTCTCTCCCTGTCTATGTCATTTCTGTCTTTGTGTCTGTCTGTCCCTGTCTCTCTCTTTCCATACCTACCTCTCCATTTCTTTCCACTCTTCCTATTTATCTCACCAACTCTGTGTCTTGCTTCTCTCTTTCTCTGCCTCTCTGATTCTTTCCCATCCTCCCTCCTCTCCCTGTGTTACTTTTCCATCCCTCCCTCGTTCTCACCCATGTGTGTCTACTGAGACACACTCACCTGTGCATATGTCATTTTCCATCTTGACTATAGGTTTATAAATAAGAGCTGCTTTCTTGCCATGGTGCATGTTCTGCCCCTCATCCCACCAAAATGTCAGTTAAACACCCTCAGAGGTGTATTTCAAGGTATAAATTACCCATACAAGCAGGGAGCCCCAGTCTCCAGCAGGTTCACCAAGGTGTGTCCAGAACTAAAGTTGGGGGCGAGGCTGCTCCTGCTGCACAGTCAGAGGACATCAATGCACTGCCTGTCCATGGATCTTCTAGGCATGCCCCGTGGGAATTCTGGAGTCCAGGTTTTGCAGCGAATTCTCTTTGGAGCATGCAGCTGCTTCAGCCTGAGTGGATCCATGATGCTTTGCAAGGTTGGTTGTGGCTTGTCTGCTTGTTCATGGCGTACAGGTAGCATCACTGGCTGCCACAGGACAGAACTCCTCAGCTGTGACAAGACCATTCTGTGCTTTGCGCAGAGCTGTGGGTAAGATGAGTTTATGCGAGATTCGTAGGTAGAGGAGAAAGACAGACAGCCATGACTGCCTTCTAGCGTTTGCGTGGGTTGGAGGCCGTCTGCTTGAGGCCTTCCTTAGGTGCTGT